TGTGAGGAATAAGAGGCCCTTTTCCACATGCCGTAAGCAGTAGAAATCTCAGATGCATCTAAATGTGAGAGCTAAAGCTACATGCGCTCCAGAGAAGAGTACAATATGGATGAAGTTGTTTATGACCTGGAAGTAGAGGGTGCTGGACAGAGGCTATGAATAAATGTTAATAAATTTAACTACATTTACTAATAATTTTTACCTGGAAAAAAAAGCATAGAATTCCATGGCACAGGCAGCAGCGTGCCAAACGCCCATGCTGGAAGCTGCGTGGCCAACCACCTGGCCGGGTCCCATTGCTCCGGGAACTCCTCAGTGAGGGAGCCTCAGACGCCGAGGAGCTGCAGGGCTGCAGGGGGCGTTGCGGCACAGGGACCCTCTCTTAAGGTCCCTACGTACACACACATCCTCGCTCACAAATGAAATAAACGTTTTTAAAAAACTGCAAGATGAGGAAAAGGTATGTGGGATTTATATCTCAGACCAAAAGTTAGTATTTTTAATAGAGCTTTTAGAACACAGGAATAGAAAGACTTACAAGCCAAGGTAGAAGTGGGTAAAAGATACAGAGTCTTTTTTTTTTTTTTGAGAGATTTTCACTGTAGGGCGCGTGCGCTCGCCAGACAGACAGAGACATAGAGACAGAAAGCGAGAAATCACCCCCCAGGGGGGATGGTCACGCCGCAATCCCTTCCCCTCCATTCTCCTCTCGGGATCTTGGGCACGCACGCACACGCACCCGGCGTGAGTTTTAAGCCACCGGGTCCGGGACACGAACCGCGGTCGACTACGTGGGAGTCCAGCGACATAGCCATTACGCTAACTGCTGGTTCCCAAGATACAGAGTCTTTAGAGAGGGGAAATGTTGATGGTTCTTAAACATACAATCCAGCGTCCGTTCACAAGGGGAGACGTACAAGAAACAGGTCTGCCATAGAGAGCTTGCAGAACCTGGGCAGGGCCACCTGCCATGGGCGGGGGCGCCAGGCACAGCCGCTGCTCGCAGCCAGACCCCGCAGCCTTATGGATGACAACACCACGGTACGCATTTGCGCACCTAACCCTGTCTAAACATAAGAAAGAGACCGTGGAAATGCATCAGAAAGGTTGCAGTGGGGCTATCCGGTGGTGTGGTGGCTGCATCCCACACGGCCAGCCACATGGTACTGGGTCCACCAGGCACGTATGCATGTGTGCCCAACATCCTGAGAGAGGGGTGGAGGAGAGGGACAGGAGCATGGCCGCCCCCGCCCCGCCCCCGGGGCACTTTCTCACTTTCTGCCTGTGTCTCTCTCTCCAGCTCACAAGCCCTCTAGCAAAAAAAGTTAAAAAGAGCACACATGTGTAGGCCCTTGCCATGGACAGAGCCTCTGGGACTGGCGCTACTCTGGGGCCAGGGTGGTGCGTGAACAGGAAGGCCTACGTCAGGACTGTAAGCTGCTGCCTCTACCAACACTACACGTGGGCCACCTTGGTCCATTTTGAAAAATTTTCTTTCTTCAATAACAAATTAACATGAGCTTACTGTAGCCTTTTTACTTTATAAACGTCTTACTTTTTTAACTTTTGGCTTTTTCATGATAATAATTACCTTATAAAACACAAATATGTTGTACAGTTATACAAAAATATTTGTCTATATATCTTTATCCTATAAGCTTTTTCCTATTTAAACTATTATTTTTCAGTTTTCAAACGTTTTCGTTAAAAACTCAACAGCCTAGGCCTACACAGGGTCAGGATCATCAGCGCCACCATCTTCCCCTCCACATCTTGTCCCGCTGCAGGTGCCACGAGGAACAAAACGACGTGACATTAAACCAGGCCCTAGAGAAAGGATGTGACGGAGACTCGGTAGCTGTGTGGCGTCCAAGGCTGCGGCTGGGGCCCAGGATGGCGGCTGCCCATAGGTGGACACGGAAACGGCAGTGGCACACACGAGCCAGAGTCGCACACGTGTCCACGAGGGCTCGGAACCACACTGACCACCATGCTGTGCTCTCACTGACGGGGCAGGGCAGCCGCTGCTGACCTCGGCCACTACAAACGCACGGGGATGCCTGGGCCACGTGTCAGGACAGCTGCAACATCCCCGGGCGACCAGGCCCCCTGGGGGTAGGGCTGTGCTTGCCCAGGACCCCACTCTTCCCTGAGTATAAAGACACGCAGCGTTCTCACACGAGAGCGCACAAACCGCAGGAGAGTGCCTGCTCTGTGGCAAGTGAGAGGCTGAGTCCCACAGGTGATCCCGGTTCAAGCCCCCAGCCAGGTCAGCCCAAAACACACCAGGCACACACCAGCGCCCAAGACCCACACGCTTGAGGACTGGAGGTCACACACATTCTCTGTCATGGGAAAGAAAAAACAAGACTGAGAAATAATTCAGGGAAAAAGGCAGTTAAGCCTTCCTCTCCCAACCATGATAGAGTAACAGGGCTCAGACCTGTCTTCTGCCTTAAATCACCAGAATGCCAGCCAAAACACATGAGAGAACTGTCCGGGCTCTGACAGAGGCAGCAGACTAGGATTCCAGGAAGAAGGGATGCAAATGTGGCTTTCTGCAGAGACGACTCCTCGGGAAGGCAAAGACCAGGAGAAAGGACCCGGAACACAGAGGTGTCGCCAGGACGCTGTGCTGCACGGGGCGGGGCCAAGGGCAGGCCCAGCTCCCTGTAGAGCCAAAGGGCCAGGCACAGGGGTGCACCCAGGAGGTTGGGTGGGATGAGGAAGAACTCAGGGCTGGCTGGGCTACGGTGAGACCCTATCCAGAATTCTAGCAGTCAGGTGTGGTGGTGCACACCCGCGATCCCAGCTGGGGGCTGAGGTGGGGTGGTGGGGCACAGTGAGTCTCTGTCAAAAATAATAACAATGGGGACCAGCAGTTAGCGTCATGGCTATGTTACTGGACTCCCACGTAGTCGACTGAGGTTCTAGTCCTAGACCCGGTGGCTTACATTCATGCCGGGCGCATGTGCGTGCATGCCCAAGATCCCGAGAGGAGAATGGAGGAGAAGGGATTGCAGCATGACCATCCCCCCTGGGGGATGATTTCTCGCTTTCTGTCTCTCTGTCTGTCTCTGTCTTTCTGGCGAGCGCACGTGCCCTATAGCAAAAACCTCTCCAATAAAAGAAAAAATAATAATAACATGATCCAATTTTAGAAAAGATTAGCAGTCACTTAATTGAGGGTATAGACTGGCGTTCATGGAGTCCACAGCAACAAGAATCTCTGAAGCAGAAGAATAAAGAGAAGGAAGGTTTGCAAAGAACTCCACAAATCTGCAGCGGGGTTTTAAAATTTAGGCATAATTGTTTAAGAAAAAACTATGGGGAACCAACAGTTAGCGTAATGGCTATGTCGCTGGACTCCCACGTAGTCGACCGCGGTTCACGTCCCGGACCCGGTGGCTTGAAACTCATACCGGGTGCATGTGCGTGTGTGCCCAAGATCCCGAGAGGAGAATGGAGGAGAAGGAATTGCAGCGTGGCCATCCCCCCTGGGGGGTGATTTCTCACTTTCTGTCTCTATGTCTCTCTCTGTCTGTCTGGCGAGCGCACGTGCCCTATAGCGAAAACTTCTCAAAAAAAAAAAAAAAAAAAAGAAAGAAAGAAAGAAAAAAAACTATGCATGGGTTTTTTTAAAAATTTTACACCAAAATACTCATATTTTAATTTCATTTTTTTCATGAACTTTTTTTCTTTGGAGAGGTTTTGTTTTGTTTTGTTTTGTTTTTTGCTATAGGGTGCGTCCACTCACCAGACAGAGAGAGACAGAGAGACAGAAAGTGAAAAATCCCCCCCCAAGGGGGATGGCCATGCCACAATCCCTTCTCCTCCATTTTCCTCTCAGGATCCTGAGTACGCACGCACACATGAGTTTAAGCCACGGGTCCAGGGCTCGAACCACGGTCGACTACATCGGAGTCCAGCGACACAGCCATTACGCTAACTGCTGGG